TTATCAATTTATTTCTTAAATTTGATAAATCTGCAGTCGTATTTCATTGACTAGATCTTGACCTTAAATGCACTTTCGATTTGTCTTCTGTTTAAGTTAAGCTCTGATTTTTAATGTACAACTGATGCACAATTTTCAACACTTTAAAAACTTGAATTCCATGTAGAAACCCTAACTACTACTGTTCAATTTAGTTGAGTATATGATTGGAAGATAAACATGCTAAAAACACCATGACATTTCATACTGAAGAATAAGTTCATGTACAGTACGTACAGTAGCTATACTGAAGAATAAAAAAGTACACACATTAAATAAGATTGGAAAATTGGTGAAAAGGTATGGTTTTGTTTATATTCAATTTGGGGGTGAGCGGGAGTATCAACTTAATAATAATTAAAGATGACAGACCATGCAACCGTGTCTTCGATAATATTCTATTTGTCTATTGGGGGGGGGGGCTTTAAAATTACACATTCAAGTAACAGTTTTTTTAAAAAGCTTGCCTGACTAATGCCATCGATATCTATAGAACCTATAAGCATGATAAGTTAAAACGTTTACATTGGGGGGAGGGGGGTTAAATTATTTCACAAGAGTAAATTATGAAGATAATGCACAAAACATCATGCATTCATTTTAAGTTGTATGATACTCATCAGAGCAATGGAAAAAATAACACATTTTATATAAAACGTAATTACAAATGTATTGTGTTTATCTAAAAAAATGAAATCATGTACATGTCCCGCTGTAGATTCGAACCCGCGACGTAAAGATGAACACTTCACTACGAGAGTCTAAATATGGTTTTGTAGGATGGAGTAAATAAGGGAAAACACTAATGTAATTGATTAATCCTGGAAAGCATGGCTACATGTAAAGGTTACATAAATCAGGTTCAACTGCATACAGCATATGCATAGGCTTTGAGGAAGACAGCTGAAAATATGATATAACTTCAAGAATTTGGGAATCGTAACGATTACATGTATGACTGACATGCAGGATGTGTTTACTAGTTTCTTGGGTATTCCAGAGCATCAAAGATTGTTGGAAACGTGGGATAAATAATTAAAGCCCTTTATGCTTATATGACTCAACAAACCTGACGGCGATATATGAATGGCGACAGGCGCGGATTCAGGAAGTTTTTCCCAGAGATGAGGGGTCCACATAAAAAATATTTGTACTAGCAAAAGAGTAGTGATAACTTTCTCAATCCTGAGAGGACACTTTCATAAGTCTATATTCTGTGGAGGACCCCCTGGAGGAGGGGGGGGGGGTACGATCAGATGTATGACCATTTGGTATCTTTGGCCAGTACATGATATCGTCTTACGAGGTTTTTGTTCCTTTAGTTTTTATTACTTTAAATGATGTAACTTCTAATTTACTTCACAATATCACCGATATGTTTTTTTTCCCCAAAGCTCGACCAGGATTCCGACAAAAAAGAACAGACTTTATATAATTCATGCAGTTTTCTTTTCCATTCAATAGGAAAATGACGCAAAAACTTACACGTGACATTTTGGCACGAAATGATCGATTGTGTCACCCCTTACCTAGAAGACAAATGGACTAATCCAGTAGTACAGAAACGCAGAAAAAATGTCAAACGGACATGTCTGTATAAGACATGTAAGAACTCGCATGAAATAAATAGCTGCTAGCAAAAAGCTAAAGGAAATAAATACGTCAATTTATTGTATCAGCAATATGGTTATTTTTCTGCTTACTGTTGTTTCTGAAACGCATGTAACAAAATCCGATTATAATCAGCATTTACAAAATTTTGCTGGCTAAAGTTCTGTGTCTACCTCAAGAAGTAGCTTCGCACCTAGGAAATATTGATCCTTATTATAGTAGTGCCTGACGCCGTGACGTCAGGCAATCATCACATACACTAGACAAAATTGCTAACGCACCACTTGTAAATTTTCATTGTGTATTGAACATTTGTCGGATCAGTTCTAGTGTATATGATATGCCATGATTTCAAAAGCAGTGAGAGTGACAAATGTCTTGGCATCATGAACAAACCCACGAAAACCCTTCTTGTCCGAATACCAATTTCCAGCTGTGTACTGCGCACCAATTTTGCACATGTATAAAATTCTTGATCACTTAAGGGGTCTATGAGATTGCCCTACATTGTAGGAGTAGTCCTCACTTAAAAATCAAACAAGCTAATTCAGAGAATTCGTGTCCCCCGCTTAGGGAAAAAGTCGGTTCCCCCTGACTGAATTTGTAGAATTATTAAATGTATACATGTATACTGAAGCAAATAAAATACATGTAGGTCAATATGCATATAAAGATTTGATTGCTTATTCTTCATTATATGTATAGAATTTTTATCACACTGTAATGATGATTTTATAACCTCATAAATTTTTCATTTCACATGCTGAATACTATCATTTAGTAAAAAAAGAAAAAAAAAGTATTTAAAAAAAAAAAAAGAAAGGTTCGACTGAGATTCGATCCCGGAACCTCTCCCACTTGAAGCGAGAGACATAACCACTAGACCACGGAATCGCTGTACATCCAGTGAAGTATATGCAGAAGTGAAGTCACATACATGTATATATTCATGTTTTCATGTTCGGTATTCTCAAAATTTTACACAATCCATGGTGTTTGATTTATTTAGCCTTTATTAAACAGTTCTAATAGATGTAATAAGAACATAAAGTCCGCCGAGAACCTGTTTTATACGCAATAACTCTACTTCATGCCCCTGCGGTAAAAATAGCGACATGTAAAACTATAAATACTAATAAAACAAACGGGGCGGGGCACTTTGAGAGGGGTGAGAGACGTCCTAGGGAGTTTTGATATAAAATTACATTGCAAAAGCTCAAAATCTTCTTGAAATATCGCCCGGAAATAATAGTATTACACACAGACAGAATGTATAAATTTACGACCTTGAACTTTGACCTTTTGACCTCAAAATCAATAGGGGTCTTCATTAGGCCACAGGGATTTGCTATGTAAAATTTCATTGCAATAGCTCAAATGGTTCTAGAGATATCGTGTGGAAACGAAAGTGTTTTAACAGACAGAATTTGCTTATTTATGACCTTGACCTTTGACCTTTTGACCTCAAAATCAATAGGGGTCTTCTTTAGTCCACAGGGAGTTGCTATGCTAAATTTCATTGCAAAAGCTCAAAGGGTTCTCGAGATATCGTGTGGAAACGAAAGCGTTACAGACAGACAGAAAGACGGACGGACGGACGGACGGACGGACAGACGGTCGGACGGACAAACCCAAATTAATATCCCCCACTTTTCAAGCGGGGGACAATTACAAAGAGTCATTGACTCTCATATCTCCTAGTAATCATCTGATACCTTAGTGTCCATACCAAATTCACTCCACTTCCGGTCTACCAAGTTTTGTGGAACATTTTTAAATTTCTTTTATGCTGCAAACTTAATGCCGTGATTATTTATAGTAAATATTTTTATGTTTGTTAATCTATTCGGAAGAATTTTAAGAGTGGAATTCACAACCTTTCTATTGTTTTTATTTTTTACAAATTTTTCTAAAGAAACCCCCCTGCAGACGCCATCCTGTCTGCGTTTGCACGCTCTTCTAGCGTCAAACGCCGCATACGGTGTACTTTTTCCCTGTTTTTTAAATTAGTACAAATGTAAAGAACATAAAACCAAAGAAAAAATTGAAATCGTTTTCTCAAAAATGGAATAGACACGATTATATCTTTTTCTACGAATTGGTCACACTTCAATAAACATTGTAGTTATTTATAAGGTTTAGCATTAATAAGCCTTATTTTTTGTTAAAGTAACATATTTATATATCAAATACATAATAAACAAGTTTTTAAAAGTAAAATATTAATTTTCTTAGGTGGTGCGTTAGCAATTTTGTCCAGTGTATACATCAGGGACATGTACTATATGTTTTAAAATTTTAAGAATTTCACTCTATATCAGTGCTTTGAATACTAAATAGAAGCACTTATAGATAAAAAAGAAAACTTGTAGTTCAAAACCACACTGTGCGAACACGTTATGGGGCGAATAAAATAAAAATTAAAGTATAAATTTAATTTTATTCCTTGGGCCGAGCAGTCTTCGGTATGGGCCGAGGTGTCAATGATTTTGAGCCGACCTGTCAGGGCCGAGGTGTCAACCAGCGCGGGCCATGATGTTGTTGAGCCGTGTAGTCTGTCTACTGAGGACTGGAGGGACCCCCCCCCCCCTCCCAGTATCCGCCACTGAGAATTAAAACATGAATCCAGATGCATCCATCATAAATAAGAACATCAGATTCTCCTTTATCATGTCTATTTATTTCAAACATTACATTTCGTCTGGCTAGTGTGAGTATGTGTAGCATTTAAATGATTTACTTTTGGACCGAAACCCCAAGCAACCGCTTTCCGGATATTCTATTTTTTTAGCGATGCGTCGATTTATCCCAAAGGACCCAAAAGGAACCCAAATGCAATTAAAAACAACCCCAAAGTACTTGAAATAGAGAATAAATGGATATTCAATGAACAATCCCATATCTTATTTAAAATAAAACTTAGTTTTGGGGTGTTTGAGGTAGGGGTGGGGGTCTCCGCACCAACCCCCATACGCCACCCACACATGATAGCATCCCCGATACCAAATATCCAGAACAATGTCATAAAATAAATCTTATTTCTTCATTAAATATCATAAAGTAAGATATCGTAAAATATTAGAAATATAATAATACTTTGTTATTTTCAGCTAAAAAAGCATATCAAACCTGATCTTTATGTGTCATTTAAGATGTATGCTATTTTGAAACAATATAATTTTATGTTTTTGCCAACTTATTATATAATAGTCATAATTTAATTTAAAATATTAATGTTCAATATATCACAGTATATTCATATTGAGTCGTTTTGATTTCCTTTTGACAAGTTTTGGGTCCTTTGGGGTTCCTTTTGGTTTCTTTTGGGTCCTTTTGGGTAAATCGACACACCCATTTTAAAGCTTTCCCCGCTGAAATCAAATGAGGCAGATTTGACAATATTATTTGGTGATGGCAAAACGTCATAATATTCCACTGAAGCTAATTGCAAATGTCAACCCAAACCTGATCAAGTAAGTAAAAATGGATAAATTTGCTAAAGGGCAGAGGCTTGGATTGATCTACAACAGAGAAATATAGATCTACCCTTGATATGTGTTTATCTAATTTATTATGGAAAGTTCGATAGTATGTAACTGAGAAGAAAAAAACACATCTATCATATTCAGTCTCTACTACTAATGTACTTGGCATTTTATCTTATCAACATTAAGTTTGAAAATGCATTTGCATTAATTATTTGTCATTAAATACTGATGCCCCATACCACAATATACATATGTACATTGAAGAGTCATATGTCTAATTTATGTACATGTTTATATAGGTTCATGTATGTCTAAATGTTTTGTTTTTTTTTCCTTTCTCTGTCAACTATGTTTTAGGCCTTTCTCTTGTAAGATTGTTCTCTTTATCATGTTTATGCTCATCAGGTCCAGTACAATCACTACATTTAGCTACGTAGCTAGATTTACCTACTTAGGTATTTAAACCTACCGGTAGTAGCTTTATTTACCTACCTGATATGTTTTTAATAAAATAAAAATTAAAATAGTCGCATGAAAAAAATGTGTGGGTCACGGGGGCGGGAATGTGAGTGAATCTCACATATGAAAAAAAGGGTACTACTAAACAGAGTACGATAGAGTACTTTAGAGTACGCTAGAAAATTTGTGTATTTTGATATAATTAAATTGTTTTTTCATGTATATATAACTTGATTAAACAGTATTTTAAAATAATATTGCAACATTTGTCCCAAATATTCGAATTTTACCGATAGTTTAACAAGAAAGCACCATTCATATTTCAATGCATTAAATTTTATCAACACCCAATCTCGGTTCCTATTTTGTTTTAGACTTATTAACTTTAACTTAATTTAATTTATCAAAATTTAAATTAATTGTATTGCGTGAAATTCAATATTTTTCACATTAAAAAATAAAACATTTGAAGTTAAAATTAGATCGGGGTCGGGATAAAGTACTCTATCGTACTAGCGTACTCTGTTTAGTAGGACCGTGAAAAAAATGATATAAAAGTGCTGCGATTACCTGTAATCGTCAGTATTATAATAAAGGATTTCGTGCAATGAAGTCGACAACCCTATGTTTGCGAGTTTCCTCTGAGATAAAAGTAATAAATCAAGCCACCATTTAACACACTGAAATCCAACATATTATAACTTAGGCTTATTTCATTTATTTCATCCTTAACCCACCTCACTTTAAAACTCTTGCACAAAAATCTACAGCTTTGCACAAAAAATGTAAGACATAGTCGAGAGATTGTACAGTAATATCCAAAGATTTTGGGGAAATTTAATAGTTTCAATGTTGGCAAAATTGGCAGAAGATGTGTAATTGACCTCTGAAATGTTAATGAAATGGAGTAATTTTCCTTGAACATTTGTTGAAAGATACCATGTTATTTTTTTAATATCAACATATCTGCTCAGGAGATATTAAGTTTGTTGAGTCTATGAAAAGAAGTACATATATTTACAATTTTCTTAGCCATAAATCATCTTAAATCAGCAGCAAACTCAAAATATTAATGTTTTTTGCAATTACTAACACTGACTAATAGGCATTCTACTTTTTAAGCATTAACTCAATTGAGTTACTTTTTTGTTTACATGGTTTAGTAACTAACAAGTGAAGTAACATAAACAAGTTATTTTAGAAAATTACTTGATTCCATCATGCCCCTGACTGATAAAAGTAATGCATCTGATTCTCCAAAATAAAAAAAAAAATGAGATCACTAATGTTTAATACCTAACCTTCTTGTATATATTGTGGTGGAAAACATATTAATATAAACATAAAACTAACATATTAAATTTGTAAATAAATTCTTTTTAAAAAAGATGAACCTCTTTTCAAAGGTCACCTCTCTATAAAGGTCACTTTTGGTGGATCCTGTTGCCGTTAGATACATTGCAGTCACGTACATCGTTTATACAAATAATAAATTTAATTGTTTTAGCATCAGAGCGCTCTTTTGTGGCATTATGAGCATTATTGATAAAATTAAATAACCATTAATTTAGTTCAAAGTTCTACAAATATTCTAGTACCATGGACTCTCATGTAAATAATTGTTGGTAAATTATTTTGTTGAACTCAGTTGAAAGTGATTACATAATGTATTCTAAATTTTTCAGCTGGAAAATAAAAGCCAAAGTTATCTTCAACAATGAAAGGGAAAAGGTGAAACCTATCAGCACTGGAAAAATATGCAGGGTTACATTGGAGGATGAGTCAGGACAGATGGCTGGAATATCCTATGGCGATATTGCAGAATGCATTGCTTTAAATCTGACAAATAATGGGGTAAATTATTCAGTTTCATTTATTTTGCTTTATTTTTACTGTGCAGATATATAAAAAAAAAATTGTGTTCATTGAACAGTTGAAGACAGCTAACATTGCTTTTAACATGTATAAATCAAATAAATCAATAATATTTGTTATAAATTATTCATTGTTAGCTCACCTGAGCCGAAGGCTCAAGTGAGCTTTTCTGGTCACATTTTGTCTGTAGTCCGTCCGTCTGTCTGTCCGTCCGTCCGTCCGTTTGTCCATCTGTAAACTTTTCACATTTTTGACTTCTTCTCAAGAACTACAGGCCAATTTTGACCAAACTTAGTACAAAGCATCCTTGGGTAAAGGGGAATTTAAATTGGGAAAATGAAGGGCCAATTCCCTTAAAAAGGGGAGATAATCAAGAAAAGACAAAAATATAGTGGGTCCTTAAAAAATCTTCTTCTAAAGAACCACGGGGCCAGAAAATCTGAAACTTATGTGGAAGCATCCTTGGGAAGTGTAGATTCTAAATTGTAAAAATCATGACCCCCTGGGATAGGGTGGGGCCACAATGGGGAATCAAAGTTGTACATAGCAAAATAGAGGAAAAATCTTTGAAAATCTTCTTTTTAAGAACCACTGAGCCAGAAAAGCTGAAACTTATGTGGAAGCATACTGGGAAGTGTAGATTCTAAATTGTTCAAATCATGATCCCCAGGGATTGGGTTGGGCCACTATGGGAATCAAACTTTTACCATGTTTACATAGAAATATATAAGAAAAATCTTTAAAAATCCTTTTCCTAAAAACCACTGGGCCAGAAAAGCTGAAACTTATGTTGAAGCATCCTGGGGTAGTGTAGATTCTTTATTGTTCAAATCATTATCCCCGGGGGTTGGGCGGGGCCATAATGAGGAATCAAACTTTTACATGAAAATATATAGGAAAAATCTTCTTCACAAGAACCACTGGGCTAGAAAAGCAGAAACTTTTGTGGAAGCATCCTGGGACAGTGTAGATTCTAATTTGTTCTAAACATGTCACCCCCTGGGGTAGGGTGGGACCACAATGGGGAATCAAAGTTTTACAATGTTGAATCAAATTAAAGCATCCTATGGTAGTGTAGATTTCAAATTGTTTAAATTATGAGCAGTTGGGTAGGGTTGGGTCACAATATGTATAACAAGGGGGAAATCTGGTAAAGAACGGTATGTTCAAAGCTTCTCAGGTGAGCGATGTGGCCTATGGGCCTCTTGTTTTTTGTTTCTTATCTTGGTGATTAAGGAGAGGTTACACCAAAACAAGCTGTTCTGATCAAAATTTGTCTATTGTCAGCGAAGTTGTTGTCATTGTCAGCATAAACTTTTCATCTTCACAAGAACGGTGATTCTGAACCACTGGGCTAATTCAACCAAACTTGCAACAAAGTATCCTTGGGTAAAGGGAATTCTAGTTTGTTCAAATGAAGGGCCACACCTGCTTCCAAGGTTGTACAAGTAATCTAAATTCATGTAAAAGACAGATGATATGTTCATCAATGATAATATATAATTTTCTCCAAGATTTTGTCATTGATTTACTAAGTACTACTTTAACATGTTTACTCACCAAAATTAGAGGTATCTTACCATTCATTTATGGAAGATACCAGAGGATGTTGTTGCCTAATCCTTTAAGGAAAATACTTAATTTGCCAATATCACATTTTTTGGTGTTTTGAGTCTTTTAAGACATTAAGATTGATTGATTGATAATTACTGTTTAACGCCGAGTCTGTAATATCTCGGCCATATTTTGGCATTTAAGACAATAAGAAACCTGTTAATAAGTCAAAAAGTAATTAGAATTTTTAATATGTTTCATACATTTTAAAGATTTACAAAATAGATATCTGAGGAACGTATTGGACCATCCTGAACAAGATATATAATAGTTTCAGCTAAAACTAGGAAAGTAATAACATCCTTCGACCCGTTAAATATATAAGTTGGAAACAAGATAAATGCTGTTTCTGCATTTTCATTGACATTAAATTTCCTGCAGAAGCCAAATTGAAATTGTAATTATAAGCAAGGAACCAAAATGGACAATTGGATAATTACGAACCGATTGAACCAAACAAGTGATATCAGGTTCACGTATCGTGAATTGAACCCTGGAAAAATAAAGCATGGTATACCGTCAAACGGTTTATTGTTGCAGTCTTATTATGAATAATAAATACTGAAATGTAGTACTTAGAAAATCCACCATGTACATGAAAAGGCAATAATATCTTTAGAACGTAGTCTTTTATATTTTAGGAATATATCATAACAGGAGCAAACATTCGAAAAGCCCACTCTTCAAACAATGTCGGTCATAAATACGAGCTTCACTTCATCCAGAACAGAACTGAATTTGAAGAAGTATGTAGTGGAAAACTCTTCCGGCTTGATGATGAAGCAATTAGTCGTTGCAAGAGGGAAGACTGTAAATCTGGAAAAAGCAGTGCTGAAGGTGGAAGTGGAGGCATTAATTTTAAACCCACACAACTGGCAGAGGTTGTTGCATCTAAGGATTTACTGGATTCAAAAAAATTTGGTAAGGTTTTGAAATTTATGCATATGTAACTGGACTTTTAGTCAAAGACCAGAAGAGCTTAAGCTCTGGTAAAGTGTTTAATTTCTGACTGTCTTTAGCTCACTTCAACAAAGTTAGGTTTTGCTCATGCTATAGATGGTTTTATCTTTGACAAATTTTTCCTAGGAGTTATTTTCCGTAGCCGCCATCTTGTAGGGCAAAGCAGTGAATTTTCCTCTTTGAGCAAACAATTTTAATCATGCATGCCAGAAATATATGGAGGGAAATATTTACAGTCTCAAATTTATGAATTAACAGAGGCTTTAAAAAATGTATTTCCATATGAAAAATAGTGGTCACACTATTCACAATAACACCAGTGAATAGATTAAATATAGTGTTAGCTTTACCTCAGTAATCAGTATAACAAATTGAACTTAGTCATGTTGGTATGAGTTGCCCTACAACCTGGCAGCCATGGGGAATAAATCTTGCTTAAATTAGCTCAATGAAAAACCATCTTTGCGTTAGAATTCTGGGAGATGTTCTTTTACTTGTCTCTTAGACCTAAACCCCGCTATTAACGTTTGATAGGCTGTAAATGGCAAGGTTCTCCATAAGGGTTTTTTTCCATGGCGGCCCGCCCTGGTTAGATTTATGTGTGCCATGGTTAAAAGAGCTGCACCATATGCACCATGGTTAAAATCAGCAGCCACCATGATCAAATTTTATTGCATTTGAGTCCTGAACAACTAATTTTTTAATGACTTGAGTAGTTCATTGTGTTTATACTACGACTGCCATGAACCTGGCATGCCTCGAAGGCAAGCTGACTGTGCTAAACAAACACGTCGTTAATCAGCGACTCATATGATGGAGTGAATCAGCTGATCAATATTTTTGAGAGTTTATTATCATGATTACACATCTACACATGTATTGTAAATAATTTTGGGGAATTTAACATGTTCACTACATGATTAGATATATATCTGGTATATAAAAGATAACACATAACGACTTATGTCTTTTCCCCTTATCTGATTGGTTAATTGTAATTTAATACAGTTTAAATTAATATCTAACCAATCATATAAAGCGAAACAGAAAAGCAACTCAAAACCTCCAAAGTTGCCAATTGCGAAAATTTTATGCATCCAATTAATAAATCGTCTGTATGCGGCATATCAAACATCAATGGAGGGGTTAGGTTAAATAGTTTTGAAGAAGAACATCTCCCTGACAGAGTGCTTGCAAAAATATGATAGGTAACACTGTTATTACCTTGGAAATCTGTTTCAAAGTGGGGAACCCCGCGTTTTTTTTTACAACTTTTGTTTCTTGTGTATTTTCATTATACCGAATAAGAACATTCTTTAAACGTGAGTAAAAGTAAAATCTGCTTGCATATATAACAACATATAGATGTTTTTGACGGGGAAATTTTATATTTTTGAGGAATTATACACTCTTACATTGTTTTTAGCTCACCTCGACAAAGTCAAGATGAGCTTATGCAATACACCTGGTGTTGGCGTCGATGTCTCTGTCGGCATCCCAGGTTCAAGTTTTCGGATCTAGTTCATTCCCTAGTAACTATAAGCCCTTCCTGAACCAAACTTGCATTGATGATGCATGTAGGGATGGACACTACCAGACTTGCTTTGGATGCTGGATCTGACCTACTTTTTCCAGATAATTGACCAGATTAAAGTTTTTGGAGCTGGTCCATTCCCCAAGAAACTATAAGCTCTACCCGGACCAAACTTGCATGGATGATGCATCTAGGGATGGACACTTCCAGACTTGCTTCGGTTGCTGGATCTGACCTACATTTTCATTCCCAAGTAACTATAAGCCCTACCTGAACCAAACTTGCATGGATGATGCATCTAGGGATGGACACTACCAGACATGCTTCGGATGCTGGATCTGACCTTTATTTTCTAAAAAAGAGACCAGGTTAAAGTTATTGAACAGATCAATCCCAGTGAACCTCCTAGTCCTAGATATGCAATATTAACAAAGTTATGAATATTTGTTTACACTAAATATGTTTTTCATGCTAGACGTTTAGAAATATGTATAAGCCACATAAGGGGTTAAACCGAACCTGCAAGAATATTATTGTCAGGATAAATACTAACTTAAGAAAATATGATGTGAGATTTGCATTACTCACACTGATAACATTCGCCGCGGTGAGCTTCGTAATCTTTGACTACCTATGTTTTTAATTAAAAGGGTGGGGTGGAAGGGGGAGTATTATCCATACTTCAGGTGCCTGTGTTTTAATTTGCATAAAATCCACCTTTCTAAATGCTTGTATTTCAATTTTTGATAAGGTTATTCCGCCTTCCTATGATGTCATAGGTTTTTAGCTCACCTGAGCCAAAAGCTCAAGTGAGCTTTTTTGATCAAAATTTGTCCAACGTCTGTCGATGTTGTCGTTGTTGTTGTGGTCGTCGTCATAAACTTTTCACATTTTCATCTTCTTCTCAAGAACCACTGGGCTAAATTCAACCACACTTGGCACAAATTATCCTTGGGTGAAGGGGTTTCAGGTTTGTTCAAATGAAGTGCCACGCCCTTTTCCAAAGGGAGATAATCATGAATTTGTTAAAAATTAATGGCATTTTTAAAAAATCTTCTCCAGAACCGCTGGGCCAGGAAAGATGAAACTCATATAGAATTATCCTCAGGAAGTGTAGATTCAAGTTTGCTCAAATCATGACCCCCTAGGCTAGGGTGGGGCGGAAATGGCCGACCCAAATTTTACATAGGAATATATAGGAAAAATCTTCTTCTCCAGAGCCACTGGGCCAGGAAAGGTGAAACTAATCATCCTCAGGTATTGTAGATTCAAGTTTGTTCAAATCATGACCCCCCGGGCAAGGGTGGGACCAAAATGGCTGACCCAAGTTTCACAAAGGAATATATTAGAAAAATCTTTAAAAATTTTCTTCTCAAGAACCACTAGGACAGGAAAGATGAAACTCATGTGGAATCATCCTCAGGTAGTGTAGATTAAATTTATACCCAATAGAACACTATCTTTTGGAAGAATGCTTTACAATAGGTGTAATGATGAATATTGTTAAATTAAAGAATTTAAAAAACAGTGAAAAATGCATATTTTCTTTATTGAATCAATTATTCAGTCTTTATAAATTACAATTATTCTTATAAAATTTATGTCGACAAGGGCAATAACTTCTTCTAGGGTCTCTTCATTCAGGCATTCAAACTAATTTAATTTTCAGGAAAATATGAAAGTGTTTATAAAATACTGCAAATTTCTTACTTCTCTTACTTTTTCTTACTTTTATTCTTTTCCCTTTATCACAAATGGGATCTTCAACGTTAAATTCCGAGAATAATAATTAGTGAATAGACTGTTGTTGAATAGATTTTACAAAGATTTCAGCACTGTAAAAATAGATGTTAGTGATTTTCTTTTGCAATGTAATGCTGCTCACGAAATTATGCCATAATTAATTCCATGCATAGTGTATATTTATGATTCTACAGTATCCAATTCTTCTCTTTATTTCTAGTCCTATAGGATTGTTTTTAATTAAGGTCTTCCGTTTCCAACGGAAGACCTTCTACTGATTCTGAAGATTAAGATTATTCTTATTATTCTTTTTTTTGTTTTCTTCCTAGACGCCAACTTTGAGGCCTCATATCTCACTCATTTCTCAATGGATTTTGCTCAAATTTTCAGACATTATAGACGGTAATAAACTCTTTCAGAATGCTGTCTAAAATTTCAAAAATTCACTTCCGGTTTTGAGTTAATTCCCTTTAAACGAAAAATTATAGGCTTTCATTTCCAGACAAAGGCTCAGAGACCACTAGAGCTGGAGCAGAAATTTTACTGGTTTTAGATAACAGAGGGATTGAAGTTGTGCACATCGGTTTTTGTTTTTCGATTTCTGTATTCAAAATGGCACTATATAGGGGTCAAAAAATAGAACGCATAAAAGAGCGAAAATTTACACATATTTTCCTTTTTATCTTGAAAACTAAAAATATTTTGTTAAGACATGTTGAACAAAAGTTGTGCATAATTGCAAGGGCTTTCATATAATACTATTCAAAAGGGGCTGGCCCCTATGATTAAGGATTTAGGGAGCTTGAAAGTTTTTGCTTTATAACTCAAAAACGGTAAATATTTCGATCTGGATTATACGAACAAAATTGTTCTTTGACACCTTTTTGATCTGATGAGAATGTTTATTTGTTCGAATATACCGGGGATATTGCGTAACACGAAGTAGAAAGCAGGCCAGGTAAACAGATAGCGTTTTTCAATCGGAAAGAAAATCAGACCTCTTCGTGTGTATAATTTACACAAACTTCCTATCAATAATATACCCTATGGTATTTAATGTTAAATTTCTACTAAAAAGTCTTTATATATGCTTTACGGTTCATTATTAAATTATTTATATAACAATTAGTTTTTCTTTTTTATGTATTATTAATTAGTTTTATAGTGAACACGTCTTCATCGGAATATATTAAATCTATCTTTCTACGTTAAATATAATTATAAGTAATTTTAAGCTTTATTAATCGAATAATTCATGATCATTTAGTTGATCTCCACGTTCGCCAGCCTAGATGTTTGTAACAGTTGCGTAATCAAACGCGCCAATCCCACGCTCCGATCGGGGTCACTTGTGTACCAGCCACCTGTTGTCGTAAACAAAGCAAGTGTCTGTGATCGTGTTTAAAATCCATTGTGTACAAAGACCTATCAATTAATAGAAAATTGTGTTTTTAATTAATCGAATCAATAAGAATACGTCACCGATCTTACATTAAATCGCAATTCCTAAAACTGGTGCATAAAATCATTTTGAATTTTGATAACTTTCTTTGGCCTGTTCACGCAAAATTATTTCTCTATTCCGTGTTAATGTATTTTATCAAAATTGTAATTGAAAAGGGGCTTCGGCAAATAATTATAATTAGTGAAGGAAGTCTTGAGATAGGTAATGTACTATATGTACGTTTTATTTTTACCATCACTCTTTTGTTTCTCCATTATTTTTTTAACGTGCGTGGTCACAGAGAGCCGCAGGCATGTCGAATGTTAAAAACATCGTGTACTCCAACAGTGGAAATTGGCTTTGAAATCACGTCGCCTTTTTCATATTACTGAATGACGGGTATTTTTTTTTTAGGTTTATAAATCCGTACAATTTAAACGCGTAAAATTTAACATAATTTATAAAACGGCTCGTATAATTTTTTACACGGTATGTGTAAAAGTAATGCTTATTGCTACTAAGCTCACTCCATGGAGGTTATATAATTAGTATACTGTTAGTATTTTGAACACTTTTAAGCCAATCATCAATTGGGATCATACAGGTAAATCTCAATTAACTTGTATATAAATTAAACAAACATTATCAATTAATTTATAAGTTAGACCTACATGGTTACTCTTTTTTAGTTTTTTTTAGAGACGCATAACTTCTGATAATGACTTAATAATTACAGCTCTTCCAATTAAATGTATACCCGTGTTTTCAATCTTGGACATTTTCTTCTGCTTCATATGCTTTGAATAAAACTTCGACCTCTTAATACGCTGTACTTAATTAAATACTTTCACTTCAATTATGTTAGTTTGAGTTGTCTCTCTTTGTTTTCGGTAAATATACCAGACATGCACGTGTGCCTAGCTATGTTTATAAAAAAAACATGAATCAAAGAAGGGCACATTGCTCATGTATATAAAGGTTATTTTTAAAAAATTATACCATGCGCGGATCTAGAGGGGGGGTCGGGGGTCAGGACCCCCCCTTGGAATTTACCAGGTTAAAAATGTACATACTTAAACAAGGAAAAAATTACCATGGACCCCCTTGGAAAACGCAGACCCCCCTGGACTATATGTGTAAAATGGGTATGAAAAGTTAAAGATTTGAGGCAAAAGAAGAAAAGAAGTCACTACCCCCCCCCCCACCCCTCACCCCACCCCCTAAAAAATACGTAGTGTGTTTAACACTACACTTAGGTAATACGTTTTTTTTTTTTTTTTTTTTTGCTTGTCAAGAAATTTCCGGGATATGATTTTTTTTTGACTGAGGTGGACCCCCCCTGGAAAAAATTTCTGGATCTGCGCCTGTATACAATTCATTATGTAATTTGTTTGCATTGTTTATATTGTTATATCAAATTAACATGTGTTTAATAACTCTCTCACTCTCTCTTTCTCTCTCTCTCTTACAAGTTACATAGGGTTTTTGGACACGTTATTTGTACACGTAAATGCATTCAATGTGATCTGGAATTTTACGTCTGATGTTTTGAATTTTTACGGACATATTCAATTCGTAAAAGATCACCGTATAAAAATTTAAATCACCTTTTTTGACCCAAATTCGTAAAAATATACAGCAGTAAAAATTACCCATTATATGGTATTTTATTTCACTCTATCTCATAGTTTGTTTTAATCAATAGTATTTGCTTTTTACACTTTATTAATTTCAAGTTTTATGCCTGATGAAATCAGGTGCTTTGATCCTTTTCATGCCAGCACCTACCCCGACACAAGACCTTGATTTATCCGGTCTCATCCATAGGATCGGTCTCCACGCATCATTTCACAAGTCTCCAAATTTCAAATAAAACATTCTCATTGAAACTTTGATGCTTCCACATGTAAATGGCCGGTCATGTTTTGTTTGTCATGTACGTCTTCCATTTTCCGTCTGTCCGGCCATCCTTAAAAAAATGTTTGTTTGGAATTGCCGCCTGAAGGGTTTCAGACACAGGAGGGAGGGTGGGAAATTATTTTATTTTTTATAAATTGAAGATAAACTTTTAATTTTTGATAAAAATCTCAGTAAACAGTAAAAACATTTTTTCTGACTTAAAAAAAAGCATCTACCATCAACAAAAAACCTAATTTTACATAGATCTGAGACTATATTTCAGTGTTTTGTATGGTGCATGTGATACATGTAATGGGCAAAAAAATTGATTAAATAAAAAAAAATCTTCTTACTTTTGGTCAATAAAATTTTATCAGGAGGGGGGTATTTAAGTGAGGCGGGAGGCAATTCCAAACAAACTATAATTTTATTTTGGCCTACCCTCTTCCCCGCTTTGCGTTTACCTCAGTTTAAAGCTCAATTTCAAAGAAACTATTCAATTTTTTTTTATATTAAACGTCCTATGCTGATAAACATTGATGAGAGCTATTTTCCTGCATCAACATATTTTAACCTTGACCTTTCCTTTGAACTTAATATCACCTTTTATGAATTCTGTCTAAAGAGACCATTCAAGATAGTATCATCAAACTTCATGTGCCGATATGTACTGATATGTGCTGATACATACTGTAGGCTAGCTACACGTTTGTAACTGCATAAACATTTTGTTTTACCTTTCCTTTGACCTTAACCTAACTTTTCTCAGGTTAGTGTTTAACTCAGAAACATACCATTCAAGACTATAAGTATTCTTTTACTTCTTTTTTACTTTGACCTCTTTTTTTTGACTTTGACCTCTCCTTTCACCTTGATCTTACCTTACCTAATTCATTGAGTATTAAGCTCAGTTTTGAAGAAAGCATTTATATTTTTACTCAGCTTCATATGCTGATACACTGTACACACTTATGAGAGCTATCCAAACCTTAGTGTATAACAGATGCTCTAACTACTGTGCCAAACGGGCGACCTTTAGTTTTGAAGAATCCATTCAAGACATTTTTATCAAACTTTAGTATACTGATACAGTTTGATCTTGCACTTTCCTGTGACCTTGACCTCACTTGTCTTTAATTTGCAATTTGCATAGTATTAAAGAAACCATTTGAGATATTTTATTGTAAGCTTATGCCTATATGCATTATCTGAACGGAATTTCCATTTTTAAGATTTCAATTTTTAAGAATCTATTCAAGATATTCTCAACAAACGTCATACACTCGTATTTCTAAATAAATCATCATGTAAATCATAGTTTTGAACCTAATAAATTCTTTCGATTCGATATATGCTCAATAAAAATTTGACTGAACATATCCAGTCTTTTGGACGAGTCATTGTTACTGACAGAGAAACTTTAAATTCTCAACCGTATTTGTACCAGTGAAACATTGCTCATATAATGCAGGGTGGGGCATGACCTTGTCTCAAGTTCTAGATCACTTAAGATAAGATGTTTTGGTTGGATATGAACTAAAAGAATATCTAAAAAAAACATACGTGAACTTTTCCACTCGGTAACACGCAGAGTATGTATTTTTATAACAGAGTTTGTCTTTGCTTGTTGCAAGGTCATTTAGAAAGTTCAAGGTCATGCACATAACATTCTTTTACAGTCTTTTTCCTGGCGAAACATTGTAAGTTGCTTCCTCAACAAGCCTTTGGGTTGCTTACTTAAATAATTTTAGAATGGTTTGACCTAGACTCAAGGTTACGTCTTCCCTTCCGTAGCTCCAACGGAAGACCTATTCGTTGCTTTGCAACGAGCTCGGCTCTAGTTTTCTCTAAGTTAATGGTCCTTTTGGATAAATCGAGGCACTGGCACCTATTGGCACATAGGACATCTGTTTATATAGCCCTATCCAAAGGACCTTTAATTTCTCAATGGAATGTTCAGAAGAACTAAATATTTTAACTGATTTTAAAATTTTTTGTACTTCAGATATTTTAGCCATTCTGCAAAAGACCGAAAAATGTGAGCCAATGTACGCCAATGTTAACACTCAAATCATCGAGAAGAGCAACAAATTTTACAGAAAGAAGGTGACGATACTGGATGAGACAGAAGAGGTTATCTTGAGTCTGGCTTCTGAAAAGAAGCAAAATGTAAGATATTAAATATTTTTTGTTTTGTCAATGAACAGTCACAATTTTTGTCTCAATTTGCTGTACAAAATTTGATACATATTTTAGAAGTTTTGGGTGCAGATTTCTTACAACAAAAAAACAATAAGGCCCACTGTAACCAAATTTGCATTGATAATGCATTCAAGAGGAATCTGAGGATGAATACAGTAAAACTCAGTTATAGCAAAGTTCTCGGGAACTGTGGATTTAATTCGCTATATGTGTAATTCGTTATATCCATATATAACGAATTTTGTATAACTTTAACTTATATAGCAAATTTGCAATATGCACAATTTCCTTCAAGAATTTCTACCAAATATATACTAGGGAAGCAATTATTACGAAATATACTTGAAATAAGTAAGGTTTTATTATAGATAGAATTTTATATACAAATACCTAGTGAAAATAGAATAAGACTAAGTTCAAAGTATAAAATTTTGAGATCTTGGAAAATTCGTTATAAAAGATGTAAATTACATTATTTTTAATGTCTACGGGACTCAAAATCAGGCGCTGTATCCTTAAATTTGCTATATCAGAGTTTGTTATAACTGTAATATTTTATAAAGAATTGTTAAGAATTTTGCCAGGGACCCTGAAAAACTTTGATATATCCATGAATTCACTATATCCGTGTTCTTACTAAACGAGTTTTACTGTACTCTCAGACTTTCTGGATGAGACTGAGACAGTCGGCTGAGTGACAAAGTTTTTGGATAAGTCAGTTCCCAAGAACATGTATCATGACCAACATTGCTTAATGTTTTCACAGATGTGTTTCCTGTGACAAAATGTTTCCAAATATATGTTGATTTGTGAATCTGAACCAATGAAAGTTTTAAAAGCATGCCTTTCTCATCAATTGTCTGTGTGTCTATCTGTCCATCTATTAACTTTTAAAGGATGAGGTGACGTTAACTGTTATCTGGGGCCCCTTTTTCTATGAGGAATTATCTTTAATCTACAGCAATGTTGGTTGTTTTCAAACATGAGTGAATAAATACAATGCCTTTTGATTAGTTTCAATAGTTCAAACATATTTGAAATATAAAGAATACTGCATTATCTTCGATTTTTTAGACCCTATCACAGCTACTTTTTGCCAGGTTTGTGAGAATTTGTTCTTTTATGGCAAGAGAATGGGCGGGTCTTAGTACAATAGAGGGATATGCGTGTCCGAGAAGACCTTATATGGCTATTAATATTATTCCGCACATAGTCATTGTCCAATCCGATGACAGAACAACAAAACATGCTGGTTTACTACGTTTACATTTTATCAAAGACACGTGGGTTAGGTCAATTTACCTGTTATCTTTTTCTACATTTTAAACTTTTATAATGGTCAGTCAAGACTGTTTATACTTAATAATACGCATGGATTTTCAGCATTTACGTTTTTTAGGACAAAAAATGCACATGAAACTTGTATTCACTGATAACCGGGAATACGCGTAGACCTAGCGAATTGCTCACCAAACACGCTACAAAACCTTTAAACTAATGTATATTATTTATCAATTGTTTGTAAATGTATATAAATTTTACTGCCATCTCGGCTCGAAATTGTACATAATCATGTAGATCCATGTCTATAATCTGCAGCTCAAATGCATAAAAAATTTCTAAAAGCAGTAAAATTCCAAGCATGTTTCCATAGTATTTTTGTAGTTCTCACTCGTAACAAATTTCATTCAGCTGATTGGTCAGTTAGAAAATATCGCCAGTGCTTTGATTAGCATATGAATTCATTCTTACGTCAGAAAATCTAGTTCCGTCGATCTGTTCTTAATGGGAAAGACTGGCTAGATTTAAAAAAAAAATAGCATGTGAGCGCAGATAGGTAAAATTTCTCCTTTTGCATATAAGTAGATATCAATAAAATACAGTGACCAGCCAAAGGAGAAAATTGTACCTACAGTCGTTTGGCCAGTTCCGGATTTTGGCCAGTTCCAAATAATTAGTAATGTAAGGACTGATAATTAATAAATTCAACGGTGTAAAAATAAATTGTTTCTATGGTAAGAAGGCTTATTTATAAGTGTTTGAATTATGCGAAGTTTTGATTTTTTACCCTCTGTTTGGTTTCGTTATCCTACTCGAAACAGTCGACATACTTTTACAACGCAACAAACGTGAATCACTGCGACGCGCAAGTCTCAAGAAAAACCTCTGTAGATTTATAAATTTTTCACATAAAACCACGTTCTTGGTTTCAAAAGTAAGTTTGATATGTACTCTAACATGTACTATAAACTTGTCAGTAATAAATATTTAGAACACTGGAAGATATCGAAATATTTTTGTCTTCTTATTTTACCAGTTCTGAATACCCATTTTAAACACTTTTATAAATTCACTCTTCGTTGTTTTCTTCATTGTAAGCCTGATTTATTATATCCCGGCTTGTAAAACAGGAAGAAGGGGGTATATAGTAAAGGAATGTTTGTCCATCCACCCGTCTTTATGTCTGTCTGTGCGTCTAGCTGTACGTCTGTCCGTCTGATATGCTCTAGGATATCCATTTCTTATCCACAACCTCTCTTCTACCACTGAATGAAGTTTAATGAAGCTTCACAGAATTTAATGAGTCTTCACAACATCTTTGTTTAACAGTGCCAAAGTAAAACTATTTTATTTTTTGGATCAGGCACATAATTTGGGCTCCCTGAGAAAAACATAGATACCGCTACTCTTTCCGTTTTTTCCTGATTATGACAACGAGCACACAGCGGGTGTGACCGGTTGGCAGGGGATGCTCACTCCTCCATGGCACCTGATCCCACCTCTGATGTTTCGGAGGTCCGTGTTTGCTCTGCTCTTATTTTGTATAATTGTTTGATGGACGTTGAGATTGAGTACTGTTCGTTATTTCCATATCCTTCTTTGTAATTGAAAGGTTTATCCATCTCTAATCCGCAATTCCTCCTATAACACTGAATAAGATTTAATGATACTTTCACAGAATCTTGATTACATTGTGACATAATGAACTTTTATTTTACTTTTTGATCTGACACTAATTTCGGGTCTCCCAGAGCAAAACATGGAATTTGTTTAAATAATCATAAAGAAGGTGTGGGGTATCGTTAAAATGAGCTCAGTGCCCACAGTACCTCTAGTTTCTCTTCAACCTTTGGAAATACAAATGATTTATTGGTAAGAAATTAATTTAACTTTTCTTAGGCATGCCAATGGAAAACATCTGGGACGTATATTTTTTAATTTAGGGTTGAATTGAATAAGAATCTCTGGGCTATCCGGAACTCGTTGGCTTATTCGTAACTGGTAAAAATGACACCTATGGTAACTTGCAAAATAAATTTTTTTGAAGGCAGGATAAATTTTTATGAAACAATATTTGATTCTACAAGTCATCGAACTACCTTGACAAAACACTTAAATTTTGAAATAATGTCTAGTATATTTATAGTTTAGCCGAATCGGTTTCTTATTCGGAACTGGCCAAACAACTGTACCTGCGCTCACATATTTTAATAAATAAGGACTTCAAAGAGTGGAGCCGGGTTAAAATGCAATGGGAATCGGATGTTAACATGATACCCCTACCCCAATAAAAGATCAATGTTTTTTAAACCACTTTTCTATTTTTGTTAAAAATAGTATTCTATGAAGCTACACATATCAATGATTAGTTACATATAAAAATTTGAGTAAAATTTATACATTTTATTTTTTGTCAATGCACCGAGGGCCGCAAGTCACCGCATCCTTTTTTGACTTCTTCTCAAGAAACACAAAATTGAACGATTTCAACTAAACATAACATAAAACATTTTTAGATAAAAGGGATTTGAATGACTATGTCCTTAAGAAGTGAGAAAATACATAAGAGTTTCTTAGAAAATTTTCATGAATCAGAATTTCATGAATCAAATAGCTGAAAGAAAATAAAAGAACTTGAAAGCTTCCTTACATAGAGTAGAATCACATTTGTTCCAGTAATAACCCTTGTGGAATGGGGTGGCGCTAAAATAGCTAGGGTATCACAGTTTTACATTGGAATATAAACCTCTGCTCCACATTTCACGACTTTTTTTTAAAGATTCCAAACATTGATATAGCAACAACTATAACATTCAATTCAAATAAAAAATAGTTTGAAGTATGAAGCGTTGCTTACTTTTTCAGAAATGAATGATATGTCAAATCCTGATTTGAAGAAAATTTGATATGGTCATTAGAAAGATCAATTATTTTTAATCTCACAATTAAATTAGAAATATGAAGTATATATAAAAATAATATTTACTCTCATACCTATCTAATTCCCTTTAGAAAACATACTGGAGCGATGCTTTTAAATCAGAATTTCAAATTGTTTTCTGTGCATTTAAAATAAACAAGAGTTATCGTTCCATCATTTCCCTTGAAATTCTTTTTTAATGAAATAAGATATTAATTAAATGTTTATAAACAATTCTGCGTCTTTTATTTCTGTACAATTAAAAGACTTACATGTTTAGAGATAGATTTTTTTATCAATTTACACCATTAAATTTACACCGTTTAAAGGAACTGAGTATAAATGTTTTAGGTAAACTATTAAAAATAATTTATAAATATACTAGCAATAGAACTAGAAATCAACCTCTGAACTATGGAATAGGTTTGCCTGAGTTAACAATAAAATGGTTCTTATGATAGAGACCTGTAAACTCTGGCATGACAAAATATTGAATTCCATGACAAAATGTCTGAAGAAAGTTATTTTTCTTATCTGTAGAGTTATCTCTTTTTTCAGAGTATCAATGAACCCTAAGTGATGTCGTAAGCCATACTGTATACAGGGAAATTTTCAACCCATTTTATTTTCACCCTTTCGCCCTCATCTGAAATTGGTGAATTTTAAACTGGGCTAATTAAGAATAAACAGTATATAATACCTTAAACAAAAATCTTTCTGGGCAAATTTAAAACAGGGCAAACTTGTTTCCAAACATGAAAGGGCGAAAAACAAAAAAAACACATGGCAAAATGGAAGTCAAACTCTAAGGTTAAGGTTGAAAGGTCAATTTTTAGTATCCGAAATTAAAAGACTTGTTTCAAGGAATACACCTGTGCAATATGACAGCCCTAGTATAAAAGACTCAGAAGATGACATCTAACTTCAAGAGTATAAGTTCAAAGGATTGAAAAGCACCAAGCAATGACCATAAAAGCAGATACTGTTTTTTTTTTGTCAGCGCAACTTCTCATAAACCACTGCACAGAATTTCATCAAACTTTGCAGATATTTATGACACAATGTTTAGATGTTCAGAGTACCAGAAAAATTCTGATTCCTTTATTTTTTCCTGTAATTTCTACACTTTTAAACTTACTAGAATTTTGGCCATACCTTGTTGAATATAGAAATGGAGAGTTTGTCAGCACAACTCCTTTTAAACTGCTGCACAGAATTTCATTAAATTTTGCAGATATTTGGGACACTGTTTAGATGTGAATATTACTAGGAAATTCCAATTCCTTTATTTTTCTTGGAAATTCGGCACTTTTCAGCATACAATTTTGTCCATACTTGAAATATAGAGATGAATATTTTTGTCAGCGCAATTCTGCACAGAATTTGTCAAACTTTGCAGATATTTAGGACGTAATGTAAAGATGTGCATGTGACCAAAAAATTCCGAATCTTTTATTTTTCTTGGAAATTTGGCACTTTTCAACTTAGATTTTTGGGCATATATTCAAGAGGATGAGCTATGTAATGGACCCCTACAGAAATAAAAAAATTCAAAACTCTCACCATGTAATTGATAAAATAAAACAATTGTAATGAAAATTTTCCATGGATTCTAAATTAAAGTGTTTACCTATTAGTTCAGGGTGACCCTCTTTCAACCTGACTACTAGACCATTTTTCACCCCCCGTCATGTTAGACGCACCATCGCTTCCGAATCCAACTAATTTTTGTACATGATGATCATTCAGCCCATCTTCAGTCATCATTCTTTAATTTCCTCTTATTCTGGAGAGGGACGTTAAACAGTAAACATTTAATTTCCTCAAATTTAGAAAGGTCCATAGAGCTGGTGGATTCTGGTTCCCACAGAAAGCGTGTGGTAATTTTTCCATTGACTGAAAATCGAATAAATATAGTCTCTTGTTCAAATGTACTTCCATCAGTACTTCCATCAATTGTGAGTGAAAATAACTTAACAACATCCTAAGGGCCCCGCAAGGATTTGCGGGTGCTCTATAGTAATCACTCTGTCTGTCTGTCTGTCCGTTTGTCTGTCCGTCTGTCATTCTTCCGTCCACAAATTTCCTGTTTTTTCCTAACTTTTTTTATGGTAGCCCAATTATGTTCAAATTTGGTATGGTAGTTCAGTAGGCAAAAAGACATATTTTGATGCTAAGTTTGTCTCTCTATGTCCTCTGGTTTGAAGCTAGGGTGGTGGGGTAGATTCCTTAACTATGCATAAGAATGAATGGGCAACTTTTTTTATGGTTGCCCAATCAAGTAGAAATTTGGTATGGTAGTTCAGTAGGCAGAAATACACACTTTGATGCTAAGTTTGGTTCTCTATGTCCCCTGGTTTGGAGCTGGGGTGGTGGGGTTGATTCCTTAACTTTGTATATAAGAATGCATTGGCAAGGAGATATAACTGCTGCAGATGTTCCCATTCAGTAAACTGAATGCTGCTATGAGTCCCTCGGGATTAATTAGCTTTCCTCCTGAAGAAAATCCAGAGCATTATCTTTATCTGTCACATTTAGATGAATTACCACCTCTGTCTGCAAATGAAGTTTGTTTTGAAGTTAAGTCAATTTGGAATGCTATGAACACTCTGAAATGTGGATTTGAATATAAAATTTTATAATTTATTTTTTTTTTGTTTTATATTTATGATTTCATTGAATTCAAAAAACAAGAAATAGATTAACATGATTAAAGAAGAGTTTTTGATTTACTTTTTTTTCACTTTATGTAAATTCAAGAATATTATTAATTTTTTCACTTTATGTTAATTCAAGAATATTATTAATTATTATTAAGGTAGTTGTATAAAAACCCCACTCTATCATTTATACTGAAAAGTTCTTATTATAACTTTAGAAGAAAATGATGAGAGAGGTACAATAATTCCCTTGGGATTAATTATCTAGCCTGCTGCAGAAAATTTAGTAGGCTTTTCTTTATCTGTCACTTTAATATTAATGAAAACATTTGTCTGCAACTGCTGTTTGTTTGAAGTTAAAGTCAAGCCTTCATGTAATATATTTGCATCTTCATTGAAGGCTGGCATTTTATACAACACAAGCTTCATAATTGTTTAGATATATATTTAATGTTAAGTTGTTCTTTACTGCCTAATGTAAATACCAGGGTATTATTTTCAGGTTTTTGAATATCCAGGAATTATCTTGAAATTTTAAGAATACAGTTGCTGTTGCTTATTTTTTGTACATTTTTAAATCATTCTGTAAGCTGCACCCTTTTAATTCTACCCCATGGCGGGGCCCTTGCTGACTGGTCAGTTTTCTAATGTTTTCCAATTTCTCCTTTTCACAACTTGAAATGTGTTCAAGAAATGTTGTGACAGCTTTTTGATCATTGTAAGTGTTCCCGTGGCAAGCCCCTTTGCTTCATTAAGTTTATTCAGCCAAATGAAATCTGATATTGGCCTGTTGTGTTTGATTAGCGCATGGATATTTCTGAATTTGTTTTCAATTTGGTTTCTTGAAGATTTGTTCGTAGAAATTACACTTTTATGCGCAACTGTTTCCCAATTTTGTGCCACTATATGTGACTTTGTAATCTCTAGGCTAAGCGATTTTAAGTGGACAGCATGAACAGTAGATGTTTCATGATCCCACACTGTAGAGAAACAAAAATTCTTAGATCCAGAAGTAAAGGTAGATTTCGGAAAGGACCTTGTTTGTCCTACCTCTATGCAGATAGCATGTCATCCCCTTTTCTTAGCTGTACTTTAACCTTTCCTTTTCTCTCTGCCATTCTTCTTTAAACTTGCACAACCTCCTTTCCTCGTATTTACCTTAGCTGTATAGGTAAGGCAAGGGTGTCACATTGGGGCAGAGGTTGAAAATTTTGCATAAAAATATATAGAGTAGAAAATCTTTAAAATCTTCTCAGCAAAATATTGATTTGTAATGTGGATATAAAAACATCATCAGACAATGTAGATTCAAGTTTGTTCAAATGATGATTTCCAGGAATAGGGAGGGGCCACAATGCATGGATCAAAGATTTACAAAGAAAATCTTCAAAAGAATCTTTAAAGATCTTTTGTTCAGAATCAACATAGTCATATCATTGGAATATTGATACATGTATGTAGGGGTGCAACGGTACACCTACCCCACGATACGATACCTATCACGGTATTCAGTTCACGGTTCGATACGTATCACGGTACATGACATACTGGGTTAAAAAGTCAGACGTTTGTCATCATATACTTTAAACTCGAAAGTTTTATCAAATGCTCATTACACTAACACTAGGAAAGTGATAACATCCTTCGACCTGATAAAAATGAAACTGGAAACAAGTTTATTTGCCGTTTCTGCAGTTTCATTGACCTCATGTTTCGTGCGGAAGCCAAATTGAAATTGTAAGCAAAGAACCAAAATGAACAATTGGATAATTACGGACCAAACAAGTGATATCAGGTTCACGTATCGTGAATTGAACCGTGGAAAAATAAACCGCGGTATACCGATAAACGGTTTATCGTTGCACTCTTACATGTATGAAAGCTAGTGTTGTAAAATCGGACATATTTTACTATCGATTATCAAATTGAATCGGAAGAACACAATCGATTATATAATCGATAATTTGAACTATTGAAAAGGTTAAATTTATTAATTCAGCATGAGTAGAATTCCATGACATGTGACCGCGAACTTCAACTTATCTTTATTGGCATACAACATTTTACACAATTTACAAATAACCGAGTCCATCAGTATATTATTTTTGCATGGAGGCCCATCGCCCTTTTTCAGAAAGCCAAAAAATTTCAAACTTTAGATCGTGTTGCACCAGGATATTGATATAATTAGGCATCAACCTCTTCACCATGCACGTTCGCCATTTTGTTTACCGCCGATTAGAGTAACGTCCCTTTGGTGAATATAAAATTTAAACCTGATCGGCTTAAAAAATACGGCATGAAAAATATAGCGATCTATCGATGATAATATTTACAATCGATTGTCGCCGATCTGGGTCTTTAAACGACGATTTTTCGATAGTCGGCGACTATCGTAACAACACTAATGAAAGCATCCTCATTTATTGTTGAGGCCCCTTCCCATAAATTTTACTAATTTGAACTAATTTGTGCTTTTTCATTGCCAGTATGCTCATGTGAGTGATGTGACTTATGGGTCTTTTGAATAAATTTATGTATTCCCCAAGGGCTTTGTTTTATATATGCATTTTTTTTTAGTTTGAAGAGCATTCGTGGAAAAAAAGTCCTGTCATGGTTATAGCTGTAAAGGAATGTGTTTGGAAGAAATATGGAAACACAGGTAGAAAAACTCTAGAAAACTTAACAAAAATTTAGATTTTTCAGATTTTTGAAACATATCTAAAATGAGTTTAATTGATAAAATATTTTGTGCTCAACCTGATTATATTATTTTAAACACAATAAATAACAGGCAACATTGAAAAAACAATGGCATTGTCATATCCAGGCATGTCTTACACAATTTTTCAAGCCATCAGTTGTTGCCCTCCCTAACACAGTTACAGTACCGACCAGACCCAACCTGACACCAAAGCAGTCCCAGAAAGCAGTCCCTGGGACTGCTTTGGGACTGCTCTGGGACCGCTGTGGGACTGCTCTGGGACCGCTGTGGGACTGCTCTGGGACCGCTATGGGACTGCTCTGGGACTGCTATGAAAAGCAGTCCCAGCAGTCCCAGCTGCCCCTGGGACTGCATTCTGGGACTGCTTTGTTCACTCATGTGTGACAAAGGTTCTGAGTGACATGATAGCTCCGCCCCCTTGTGTATTCTGAATTTGCAGGCTCCCTATTGTTTTGTTTACTTGCAGCAGAGAGGAGTTTTAACTGTTTAATACGCAAGGATTTCTTATAATCTTTTAATAACTGGAGATTACATGTATTATAGTTAATTTATAGTTTTAGGGACTGTATTTTTACACAAATGTAATATAGAATATTTTTAAAAATAAAGTTGTTAAATAAGGAAGTCAGGAGGAGATTTTTATTTCTAAAGTATATAAAACTACAGGCTTATGAGAAAAAATATCTACATGTAGATTTCTTTTCTTATTAAATCTAAAATTAAATACTCAAAATTTTCATTCGGCACTATTTAAAAAATCATTACATTTAGATATAAGATATTTTAATTGAAAAGGCTACACGTTTTACAAGCACCACGCTAAAAGAGTATTACATACAACCCGCAAATAAAAATCTAACAATTTATTTTATGACATGAAATAAAATTATGCCACCATTCTTCCGTAACATAAGCAATGTGAACAATTATACGAGAATTTACAGAGGAATTAGTTTTTAATTTATGAATAAGTTATTAAAAGTGAAAATTAAAAAATAATTAATAAACAGTTGAAAACCTGTAATACCTGGAATTGTGATTATTTCTTTTTTGTTTTGCTTTTGTTTACCTGGCCGATAATGTGTATGAATAAAATGGTATAAACACCTGTGGTTTCAATCGCCTTTGGGCAGAAAATCAATCATGCATGTTATTTGGGTACACGTATCAGTGTTACACATCATTGAACATGCTGCTCAATAAACAACGACCCTAATTTCAATCTATGTAAAAAATGTAATGCATAAAAAAGATAAGTGAAATGTGTATAAATTTCTTTCAAGATTAATTAATGTTGAACATAATCTTAGGATTCTATACTGGTCACTAATACAATTTACATATAAAACAATAATTTTTAAATTAACATGTCAGTAAAGAATAATCAATACTGAAAAATATTACTTGGCAAAATTAGCAACGATTTTTTCAAAAGCCCTAATACTTTTTAAAAAATGCCTTTAGAGTATCCCGATAGTGTGGAAATCGGCCATGATGTATAATGAATAGATCTATTTAAAACTAATTCTGGTGAAATATAATTAATTCAATTTTAATTTTCTGTATAGAAAATAAATATGGGAGCCAGTATCAATCACAAAAAAACCCAAGATAATTGTGATTAAATATACATGTTCAGTGTAATTCATTTATGTAGTTGTGTAAGCTTTATTCCTTCAATAAATATGATTTCAAATTGTTTCAAATATATGCGGGTACTGCTCATACATGTAAATGACCTTCGCATTGTAAGGATTCCTGGCATACTGCTCAGAAAAAAATTCAGCTGCCTTTTATAGTTCCATTGTTTATTGGAAATCTCATTTCTGAGTTAGCCCCACCCGTTAAATTAATAAACCCCGCCCACTGGGACTGCTGGGACTGCTTTCTGGGACTGCTTTCTGGGACCGCTGGGACTGCTGGGACCGCTCTGGGACTGCTGTGGGACTGCTCTGGGACCGCTGTGGGACTGCTCTGGGACCGCTGCGGGACTGCTTTAGCAGTCCCAGAAAGCAGTCCCCAGGACTGCTCTGGGACTGCTTTGTGTCAGGTTGGGTCTGGTCGGTACTGTATGTTCCCTCTCGTGCAATCATTCTGCATATAAATTACGTCGGGTTCGAAATTCAAAGAGGCAGTTGCGAAGCAAATGTAAACAGTTCCACAAAAGTTAAAAAGTTGAGACCAGTCTGCGATTTGTTTATTTGAACTCAGAGTAATTAAATATTCAATTGAGGAGAAAAATTCTTTAAATTCAACAAAGGTTATTAACACAAGTGTCAGTATACAGGAAACATTCTGCTATGATACAGGATGGGATATTACTCAGCGTACATATGTGTAAATAGTGTTCAATAAAAAAGTTCGATGATCGATTTCGGCTCAATGGTAAGAAATGTTATATACCATATATTACCTGGCTTAATTCTTGGGCAGCAATACCAGAATATTTGCCCCAAGGTGACAGGAAAGCCCTGGAGTGTTGTCGCCCAATGCCGCAGGCAGAGGCCGACATAACACTCCAGGGCTTTGCTATCACCTTGGGGCAAATATTCTGGTATGCTGCCCTCGACGCCATGTAATATATACACTGTATATATATATATATATATATATATAAGCTCACCTGAGATTTTCTGATCAAAATTGTCTTTAGTCTGTACATATGTATCTTAAGCTGTCTGCAGGGCTGTCACAGCACCTTTTGGTACAGGGATCGGGTCCCTCTATATTGGGAAAAATCCCTTACATTTTTGTCAAATTTGGGAAAATTTTAAACATACTTTCATGTACCGTTAAAGTAGAATTTTTAGCGAGGATTTAATTTTGGCATTATTAGCGAGAGTGCCGAGATTGCTAAAATTGAATATTGCTAAAAATCAATTGTGTTTTATTTGTAATAGCTTCTTTTATGTGCATTTTAAAATCGCTGAAATAACGTCTCGCAAAAATAAATTACCAGTTTTTAAGGAAAAATCGCTAAATTTGCGACTCGTTAAAATTTCCACTTATACGATATTCAATTAACACCCACCCCCAAGAAAAAGAAAAGCTTAAATTTACAGGACATAAGCATGATAAGGTCTGATAAAATCTATATTTAACAGACCAAACATTTACTTACTTATCAGGCTTTTTTCCATATAATACAGAGACTTAAAAATGTGGGGAGGGGGTATTTCTTACTGTTTAATTGCATTTGAAATAAATAAAAAAAAATAGATTATATAGAATAATTTATTGAAATTACCAAAATACTATTTAAAGTTTTCCTTTAGGATGTAATATCATAAAATTGCCTAGATCTACAATTTATTTCTTTTTTCTACCAATTCTGGTGATTTAACACATGCAAATGAAACAGATAGTATCCAAGATTTTATTTAAGGAATGAAGCTTATTTCAACTTATGTTATCCGATATAACATAAATTGGGGCAGTTTACGCTTTATAAACCTCAAAGCGGTTTTCAGGGAATGTAAAACAATATAGAATCAATCAATCAGAAACGGGTAAGGTGGTGCCACAATGGAGTATCAAATTTTGTAATGGAATATGTAGTGAAAAATATTTTTAAAACGTTAAATCTGGAATAAAGTCATTTGATATTTTGATAAGGAAGCATCCTTAGGTAGTTATAAAATGAAGTCCTCACCACCTGTGATTTTTTCAATACTAAACTGATCTGTGCTTTTTCCTTACTAATGTGCTCAGGAGAGTGATGTGGCCATTGGCCCCTTGTTTTTAGTGATCCTAACAGGCTATCTGAATAAAAAGATCAAAGAAGAAAAGCTACTGCAAATGCCAGCCATAGCCTCCAGAATGAAGGAGTTAAAGTCATGGTACCTCAAAAAGAAGAAGAAGGCATCAAAAGAATTGACTATCAAAAGCTGTAATGTTGACTTTAGAATTTTATTAACACAGACTATTTCATAAAAATGAAAGACAAGAACTCCGAATTTTAAATTTTTCAAGTTTGCCATGAAAATTTACTTTTTAAGAGTAGCCCAATTGTGATTTTTGTTTGTATGTTTAGCTCTACTGGTCAGCATGGTCAGAGACCAGAAGAGCTTATGCAATAGTAATGCATCCGTTGTCGGTGTAGCTGTCTGTATGTCTGTCTGTCTGTAAACAATTTTTCAAAATGCTACTTCTACAGTTTTGATCTGATTTCAATATAACTTGGCACACAGGTAGACTACATTAAGATACATAATTCTGTTCTATGTATCTGTTTTTGATTTCAATGAACAGTTTTGCCATGGTAACTAAAAATAGAACAGAGTTGGCAAAAGAGGTAAAAAATCTGTCGGACACAGTGTCCTACAGATTGTCTAAAAATCACAAAAATTACAGGACACACTAAAAATTTGCCGGACTGAAAAAACAACAAAATGTAAAATTGAAATTGATTTCTGGTTGGTGGAACTCTTTCTCAGTGGAGGAAGAAAATGTCTGTTGGATGGGGACCATGTGCAAGTGAATACAATGTAAAATGGATCACTGTAGATTAGAAATAAATCCTGTTTAAATCTCTTGATAAACATTCGCTGACTCACTGTAATGAATTTTATAGAAGAGTTAGTCCTCATATGAAAACGTTATATTTTTTGATGATATTTTTCACTAAGGTCATTATTGAAATCGTCACTTTTGAAATCAAATAAAAAATACTCTAAACTTTCCTTATTTGACAATCGATTATCTGGAGTCCAACCCGTGACAATACATTGTAACAACAGCATGATTGTTCTAGTTCTTCTATTGTCACAACTGTAAACAATGTTATGCTTGAGAATTATGGCGCGAGATTTAGAGCTTTCTCGACTTCTCCACAAAAGAGCGGTAGTAAGTTCGATAACTGCCAGGTACTCGCCATACTACTACGTATTGCAATATTTAAATAATGTAAAATCTTACAGATTCAATTTCATGAAGTTTTAAGAAATAATGCGTTATGTAATTTCTTTTAATTATATTTTACTATTGATTATTCTGAATTATCTACGGGACACGGTGTCCGGCGTGGTTCTAGAAACTATCGGACTCAGACGAAATTTACCGGAGATCGCCGGTGGGCCGGCGTCTTTCGCCATCTCTGATAGAAATTTCTGTGAAATACCGTATATACTCGCCAATAAGTCGGTATTTTGGGAGTGAAATATTGCTCTAAAACTCTAGGTCCGACTTATGGGCGAGTCATAAAGACTTTGTTATTTTTCTGGAGGTTAAAAGGTAGTATATGTATCTTATTTGCTATTATCAAAGAAAATGTATGTTTTCTTAGATTGTGTATATAAAGAACAAGTATTTACATGGAATATTTTGATAATTTTATTTGCAATTTAAGTGAGCAATGCCTTTTTTTAAATTTAAGATTAAATATCAGTGTTATTTCGAAAAATACCAAGTAAAACCAGATTAAAACATCAATGGATTTACTTGAAAGTGTCACCCTAATTTGGCAAAAAAATACACCAACTTATAAGCGGGTCAATAGCAAATTCCGCCAAAATAATGTCAAAAAATACAACCGACTTATAGGCGGACCGACTTATAGGCGAGTGTATACGGTACTTCAAAGTTCAAATTGCAAATTCTCCTACAGTTTTGGTCTGATTTCAATGTAACTTGGCACACAAGTAGACCACACTAAGCTACATAATTTTATTTTTTCTTCTAAACTGCTACTCGAAACTTACAACAGTTTTTATACGCCCGTCTTAAGATGGGACGTATTATGTTATAGGCTTCGTGTCCGTCCGTCTGTCCATCTGTCTGTTAGCTTTTTCATTTCCGGCTCATAACTTTAATACTACTAGGCCTAGGATTACCAAACTTTGTCATGTGATGCATCTTGGGTAGAAGATGTGTCGCACACAAAAAGTAGGTTTGCTCTGACCTTTAATTAAGAAGTTATAGCCAAATATGGAAAAATCCTTTCTGGCCCATAACTAGAAAACCATAAGACCTACAATCATCAAACTTCGCCAGTTTATGCATCTTAGGTAGAAGGTGTGTCGTGACCTATTTCAAGGTCACTGTGACCTTTAATTAAAGTGAATTTTTAAAAAAAAGTGTCATTTTACTATTCATTTACACATCCCAAATAATGTAAGAGTATTGCACTGTTCTTATTAAAAAAGTGTTAAATCAAGAAAATACTTATTTTTTTAAGCATATACTTGACAGCAATCTAAAACAAATATAATGTATGTTAGAGAAATCCCATGTCTCCCATGAGTGTAATTATCAAGCACTGGTCAAGAATTTTGATTACAGAAAATTGCATGTCAAATTAGAGAGAAATTAATGGGTTTTGAGTGCGAGGAGCTATTGACAGAGCATTGGAGTTATCTATATCCCTTGAGAATTGGGCAAATGGGTAAGCCTGTTTGATTAAGAATAGCTCTTGTTGATTAGCTTAAGTTTTGAAATGTATTGCATGATAGACTAATCTTATTTTATGTAATATTATTAATTTAAAAACTAATTTTATGGGGAGGGGTTGAATCAGCATGACCATATGAATTACATACTTAAACCTGTTGTACATTAAATCTCAACCAAAAAAAAAATCTGAGAGTATTTCATATGTTTTTAAAAAAAAATTGTAGTAGATAGTGCAGACCCATTCATCTCTTGGTAGTAATGAGTAGACAAGCATCCAGTTAAAGATTAATTAATGAGTTTAATGTAGAAAGGCCAGCTGTTTCAGTCGCTCTGATTAAGCAGCCCTTTGGGATTTAGACAGAAGAACTGCTGGTCAGTTTATAACATGTCATTTGATGGCCAGCCTTTTTTTTCCAAAATTAATTTGGTATAGATTAAGTTGTTAAGAATAATTTGATTATGGGCATTTGACAAGGTCTAACACAACCAGCACAGAAATCTATCAGTGATGTTATATTTATTTATAATTGATGCCTACATCACAGGGGATGGATAAATATTTTAGGGGAATGGAAAAATCATCGAAATCTTATAATCAAGGTTGATGTGATTTTTTGCACCTAAACTTCAAGAAAATTGTAATTTTTTGACGGGCGTATCATGCTGTGGCGCGGCACTTTATTGTCTGATAACAGCATAATGTTGCATGCAAGTACAGTTTGTCGACTACTCGGACATAAGTAATTTTCTTTTTTTTAGTTTGTTGATTGATGTTGCTTTGGTAACTAAAATGAAAAATTCTTTAAAATTTTGTTAAAAACTACTCCTACAGTTGTAGTCTTATTGCAATCTTGCCACAAAAAAAGACTGCTACTTTTTTCTTCCTTTGTTATAAGTATAAACCAGTAGAGCTACTTGCAGTGCCAACAGAGACTTTTGGTTTTAATTTGATTTTGCAGGCATGAAATCAGAAAGTCATACTACTGCCAACAACAAAAGATTGACAAAAGCAAGCTGTACAATTACAAGTCCTCCTAAAGACCAGGAAGGTTATTTCAGTTTTTGCAATTTCTGACACATGCACATGACACTATAACTGCTCCATCATTTTTATATGCCTTGTGTATATCTTTAATACATGTACTCATTATATTTGGATATTGAATCTATCATGATAAATGAAGTTTTGAAAACTCCCAATTTTTTGTATGTATTTACACAATATTCAATCAAATGTCATCTTTAAACTAGGGTTGGGGCGATATCAATTCTGTATGAGGACTATACACAAATTGAAACATATGAAGAAATATCAAAATATTGCCAAAAAAAATTCTGACTTCTGCATGTTTTTCTTTGTTTATTTAACATTTGGGGATTAATATATAAAATAAGCTAAATATAAACATGATAAATATATATAATTATGAAATAAATAATAATTTTTTAAACACCATGTGAGTAAATATTTTTGTTTTACAACATATAAACAGCTTTTTGAATAAATTATTCTTATTTGGAAAGAAATATTGTTTATTTTAATGCTAAAAAAAGATTTTATAACCAATTAAACATAAGGTGATACATATCGTATCGTGGCTCAAATTTCATGATATGTATCAATATAGAGAAAGTTGTATCATCCCAGCCCTACTTGAAACCAAAATTTAAACTTCAAGAATGTAAATGATATAAATATGGAAATTTTATGTTTTTTGTTTTAAATAATTGTTCTAATACAAACCATTAATTTTAACCAAGATGCCCTTTCAAATGATGAACAGAAGAATGGGACAGCATCCTTGGGGTGTGAATCAGAAAATCTAAAGGAAAGAAAAACGGGAAATAAAAGGAAAAGTGATTCGAAATCCGATGTTGCAAGAAAGAAAATAAGAACAGGAGAGAAATCAGTAGCTAAAGGTGATTTATTATTTATGCCCTGCAATGAAAATTGTTTGGGCATATAGAGTTTGTGAATTGGCAAGCCTTTCTGTCATTCTTCCATTCTTTGATCCTGCTTTTTATACACCCGTCTTAAGACGGGATGTATTATGTTGTAGGCTTCATGTCTGTCCGTCTGTCTGTTCATTCCTGTCCGACTCATAACTTGAATACTATTAGGGGTAGGATTATCAAACTTTGTCAACTGATACTTCTTGGGTAGACAATGTGTCGCTCACAAAAAGTAGGTTGCTCTGACCTTTAATAAATATGCTATAGCCAAATATGGAAAAATCCTGTCCAGCTCATAACTAGAAAACTATTAGACCTAGAGCTTTCAATTTTGGCAAAAGTATACATATAAGGTAGAAGGTGTGCCGCAGCCTATTTCAGTTCACTGTGACCTTTAATTTAAGTGATTTTTTTTTAAATTAAGTCTTTTAAATTTCATAATCATAAAAAATGTAAAAATATAGTTGTATCCTTATTTAAAATTGTAGAAATTTAGTAAAAACTAATTTTTTCATCATATACTTTACAGCAATCTGCAACTGTACAAATGTTAATGTTTTGAGAGGAACTCAGTTTGTCCCATGGGCATAATTATCAAGCACTGTTCAAGGAGAATTTTGATAGCAGAATTGTGCATGTCAAATTAGTGAGAACTTAATAAGTTTATTGTCGGGGAGGTGATTGGCAAGAGCATCTCTAGACCTGCATTATCATGCAGTGTTATCTTAATTTATCTTTTGGCAGTTGGGCGGTGTCGGCGTCGGTGTCCCAGGTTAAGGTTAATTTTTTTTTAGCAGTTTTCTTTTTAAGTACTTCTATGTCCTATATTGATTAGACATGCATGGAAGTTGTTTCTAGTGTGTTTCATTGTACCAGTTAACGTTTCAGATGCTGCAGTTTCAGCAAAGGAATGACCAGGTTAATGTTTTTGGAGCAGGTTAACATTTTTGGTGCAGTTTTTAGCTCACCTCAACGAAGTTGGGGGGAGCTTAAATGTGATACCGTCGGCGTCGGTGTCGTCGTCGGTGTCCCAGGTTTAGGTTAAGTTTTTTTGAGCAGTTTTCTTTTTAAGTACTTCTATGTCCTATATTGATTTGACATGCATGGAAGATGTTGCTAATGTGTTTCATTGTACCAGTCAAAGTTTCAGATGCTGCAATTTCAGCAAAGGAATGACCAAGTTAATGATTTTGGTGCAGGTTAACATTTTTGGTGCAGTTTTTGGTGTAGGTCTCATTTCCGAGTAACTATAAGCCCTATGTTGACCAAACTTACATGGATGATACATCTTAGGATGCATACTACCAGACTTGCTTCGGATGCTGAATCTGACCTACATTTTCCGGTTGAGTGAACAGGTTAAAGTTTTTGGTGATGGTTTCATTTTGAAGATACTTTGAGCCCTATAATGACCAAACTTGCATGGATGGTACATCATATGATGTAATCTACTAGACTTGCTTCAGATGCTGAATCTGACCTACATTTTCCGGTTGAGTGAACAGGTTCAAGTTTTTGGTGCAGGTTTCATTTCCAAGTTACTATGAGACATATAATGACCAAACTTGCATGGATGGTACATCTTAGGATGCATATTACAAGACCTGCTTCGAATGCTGAATCTGACATACATTTTCCGGTTGAGTGAACAGGTTAAAATTTTGAGTGCAGGTTTCATTTCTAAGGTACAGTACTATGAATCCTATAACAACTAAATTGCATGGATGGTACATCTTAGGATGCATACTACCAGACTTGCTTCGGATGCTGAATCTGACCTACATTTTCTGGACGAGTAAACAGGTTAAAGTTCATGGTGCAGGATTCATTTCAAAGTAACTTTGAGCCCTATAATGACCAAACTTGCATGGATGGTACATCTAAGGGTGCATTCTACTAGGCTGGCTTCGGATGCTGAATCTGACTTACATTTTCTGGATTAGAGGAAAGGTTAATTTTTTTAATACAGGTTTCATTTGCGAGTAACTTTAAGCCCTATGTTGACCAAACTTGCATGGATGATACATCTTAGATCATGCACACTAATGGACTTGCTTCAGATGCTGAATTCGACATACATTTTCCAGATAATAGACCTCGTAAAAGTTATGGGTACAAGTCTATCACCAAGAAACTATAAGGCTTATATAAACCAGTTGCACAAATGATGCATTAAGGGATGAAATCTCTCAATCTTGCTTCAGATGCTGGATTTTAATTACATTTTCATGATGAAGAAATAGTTTTTAGTTTTTGTATAGGTCTATTCCAAAGTATCAAATTTGCATAAATTTAGCATTTTTGGATGTACACTTTTTGTTGCATTGGTTAATTGTGTGACTTAATTTGCCTTACTTAAAGACAACACACGTTGAGGTGAGCTCTGTAATCTCTGATTACCTATGTTTGGTTAAGATTTCATTTCCAAGTAACTATAAGTCCTATGTTGACCAAACTTGCATGTTGCATCAAGAGATGAAAACTCTCAAATTGCTTCAGATGCTGGATTTTGATTACATTTTCATTAAGAAGAACTAGTTTAAATTTTTTATGCAGGTCTATTTCAAAGTATCAGATCAAAATTGCTTAAATATTTTCATTTTTGGAATGTACACTTTTTTGTTGGTTAATTGTGTGACTTTGCCATACTCAAAGACAACATTCGTTGAGGTGAGCTCTGTAATCTCTGATTACCTATGTTTATCCTAGCCACAGTGCTCAGGTGAGCAATGAGGCCCATGGGTCTCATGGGCCTCTTGTTTAAATTCTGCCTATGGTATCAATCACAACCAATAAACTGTTTGGGGTAAAAATGTCTGAAATTTCTTTTAAAAATGAGGCAAAAATATCAATATTGAAATTGAAATAAAATGAAAATTATACAATAAACACATTAATGTTTATTTCTTATTAAGATAAGGCTTAAGGAGTTACTTTTCGTAAGAAGTCAAAAAAAATATTATATCCAGTAAAACATGTATGTTTTAATATTAACCTAAAAACAAGAGATAATCCATATGGATAAAAATGGTCAATTATCAATTTTTGAGGAATTTTATCTATCAAAAATATCATAAAACCCTACAGCCAAACTGAAAGGCCATGCTAGTGTCATAGACACTATATCCTATAGCAAATAAAATAAAAGATATTTTTGTGCAAATAATTATTTATTTCCCAAAACAACTTATGAATTTCACACAAAGATGGTAATTTCACCTTTTTTATACGCCCGTCTTAAGACGGGACGTATTATGTTATAGGCTTCATGTCCGTCCGTCTGTCTGTCTGTCTGTCTGTCCGTCTGTTAGCTTTTCTCCTGTCTGGCTCATAACTTTAATACTATAAGGCCTAGAGTTATCAAACTTTGTCAGCTGATACATCTTGGGTAGAAGGTGTGTCGCGCACAAAAAGCAGGTCGCTCTGACCTATAATTAAAAAGTTATAGCCAAATATGGAAAAATCCTGTCCGGTTCATAACTAGAAAACTATTAGATTTAGAATCATCAAGCTTGGCCAGTTTATGCATCTTAGGTAGAAGGTGTGTCGCGACCTATTTCAAGGTCACTGTGACCTTTAATTTAAGTGAAATTTTAAAAAAAATGTCTTTTTTTCTATTCATTTACACATTCTAAAAAATGTAAAACTAATGAACTAACCTTATTAGAAAAATGTTAAATCAAGAAAATACTTATTTTTTTTAGCATATACTTGACAGCAATCTATAACAAATATAATGTATGCTAGAGAAATTCCACCACTCCCATGAGTCTAATTATCAAGCACTGGTCAAGAAGAATTTTGATAACAGAAAATTGCATGTCAAATTAGAGAGAGAGTAATTAATGAGTTTAGTGTGAGGAGTAGCTGTAAGAGCATCGGTGCTATCTATATCCCTTGAGTATTGGGCCAGATGGGTAAGCCTGTTGGATTAAAAATAGCTCTTGTTGGCTAGCCTAAGTTTTAAAATTAATTTGATGAGAAGTAATTAAAACTAATTTGATATTGCTTATTAAACTATTTTGATATTACATAATATTATGAACTTAAAAACTAATTTTATGGGGGTAGTGGTGGAATTAGCATGTTCATATGAATTGTATATTAAAAACTGTCTGACATTAAATCTAAAAAAAATCATTGATGTTTTATATATGTTAAAAATGTGTTATGGTAGATAGTGCAGATCCAATAATCTTTTGGGAGTAATGAGTAGACAAGCATCCAGTTAAAGATTAATTAATGTGTTCAATGTAGCTCTTTCATTTCTTCAGAGCATGGTCTTATCTGTATCCTTCGGGAATTAGACAGAAGAACTGTTGGTCAGTTTATAATTGATGGCCATCCTTTTATTTCCAAAATTAATTAGGTATAGACTATAGATTAAGTTGTGAAGACTAATTTGATATTGTTAAATATGATAGGCATTTGGCAATTAAGGTCTAACTAGTATAGAAATCTATGAATGATGCAATATTTGTTATAATTAATGCCTACACCACAGGAGATGGATAAACAAATTTTTTAAGGAGTGTAAAAAAAATCATTGAAATCTTAAAATCAAGGTTGACATGATTTTCCTGTACTTTTAACTGTTTAAGATACATTGTAATTGTTATTTTTTGACGGGCGTATCATGCTGTGGCGTGGCACTTTATTTTGTTTTTGGTGTTAGGGCGGGACTCTAATGATTATATTTTGAAAATGCATGAATTCCTTGAAAATCTTTTTTTCACATTTGGTATTATCCCATTGATCAAAGTACAAATTTAATATGAAGAAATGTGCCTCTTCCAAAATGGTTAATTTCAGGTCCCCTGGGAAAGGGGTCTGAGGGGAGGTTTACATAGTCTGAAAATAAATTAATGCTTTGAAGTCAACATTTATGATGAAAAAGAATTATGATAAAATTGATAAAATTTTGAAATATGGGGTCCCAGGGTCAGTGGTTTTTGTGGAGATCGAGGGATGCACAACTGTTAAAGACAAAGTGGAATGCATTTTCTCCTTGTTGCTTAGTTATGATACATGTAAGCAATGGTGCCTCTTTAAAAATTAAATTTCTTGGCCTCTGGTTTAAAACAGGAACCAATTCAATTGTTGGAAAGTTACCACATAATGCTAAGGTGACCTATAAGGTCCGTGGGCCTTTTGTTATAGTTGATTGGGTGTTATATCCACATTTTTGCATAATAATGCATGATAGCATGCTTTGGAAAATTTCTTTCTCATGTATATTAATATTTATAAGTTTATATAGAGCAATAACATGGACTGCAAATTTAAAGTAAGGAAAAACAAAAATTTTGTGATCCACAGAATTTATGTACGAGGGTTGTCCCATAAAATTGTGGACAAAGCGTTTTTCTCGAAAAGTAATGGGCGCACTAAGCTGAAATTTTCAGTAAATGTGTATTTATCACATTTAAGTGCATCATTATGTTTTTGATAATATACAGACAAAAATAAAGATTTTAGTCACTTAAAGGTGCACAGGGTACAGTCCTACGGCGCACGGTAAAAATAACAAGGTTATATAAGAGAATACACAAGAATTAATTCATAATAAAAGTGTTCAATACATAAGATCGGGATAAAAATTATCATAATTCGATTCCTTAATAAATTTTATCGTATTTATAAAAATTTCAAGGCATTTGGTTAATTTTTGGAAGATTTCCGAGCAATCGAAATAGGAATGTGGTGAACACAATACACGAAAAATCGCAGTTATTGATGACGTTACGGCGCACCGGAGAGCAGTTCAGTTAGATAGGATGTTGTAATGACAGCTTAAGAGACTTTAAATGAATACAGAAGAAAGATAATATGACAAAAATCACTAGATCTTTTATTAGTATATATATATATAAATGATATGGAAGTTTTCTTAGTGAAGTCTTTTTGATTGAGTCCCCGGGTATACGGACAATATACGGACAAACTGCTATTGTAATAGCAAAAGATGCTGTCACTGTCGACCGTTGATATGAGATCGTCTGTTAGTTGACTAATGGTGAGAATATCGTCCGTAACTTTATAAGAAATCTTTAGAAGATTGCATGTATGTGCCAGATTGGTACCTTAACTGGTTATAGACACTCACGTATGTAAATCAATGGAATTTTTAAATTTAAGTTGGACATCCAACTTTATTTTTAGCAAATATGAAACATGGCGCTGTTTCAGACACTTTGACGTTATCATCCGTGCGCTGTAAGGCGATACAATATATAACATAAAAACTCCTAGTTTGTTTATTTATGCATACATGTATATCTATTTGAAATTTGCTTTGTTTATTCATAATATATGTACTAAAGAGTGGTGAAAATTTCAGAACGCAGTGATGACTATTTTTCAAACTAGACAAATTGTCCACGATTTTATGGGACAATTAACCCTCGTACATTACTACTTTTTGCAAGAAGATTTAATTCAGAAGTTTGACAAATTCAAACAACATGTACAACATTTATTCCCTTTAAAATATTGTTAAATGCATGAAAGAAGTACATTGCTCAGGTATGAGTATAATATATCTCAAAATTTAAATATTTTAATTTAGAGTCTTCTGAAATGTTTCAAAAAAAAATTGATAACTCACAAAGCAGTAAGGAACTGGACACTATTTATGCCCAGGGATGGCATCATAGTGTGGGTTATTTGGTATGTGGAAAAACAGGAGGAACAGCATTCAGAGTTGGCAGTCGTTACCTGATGACAGCATTCCATGTGATTAGAGACATTCTAGGTTGGTATCTAAACATAATGATATTACATATAAATGGATGTTTTGCTCTTATGAGCATAAAGCTTAAAGAGCTAATGCTTTGACCATTTGACATGCTGTGTGTGTAAATTATGGACAATATTCAAGAACCATTGGCCAACACTGTCACATTTGTGGCAGAGCATCCTTCCCGGAAGGGCTTTCCTTTATACAAAAAAAGGGATGCAAACTAAATCCTCAAAGAATATTTTAAGAGTTATTTTAAGCTGTTCAAATTTAATTGTATGTTGAACATCACATCTAAAGATCAAAACCTACAATTTATTCAAATTAATCTATAAACTACATGGAAAACACTTTAAATAGTAACTGTTAAGAAAATATGATGTGAGATTTGCATTATATTACTTAAACTGATAACATTTGTTGAGGCAAGCTCCGTAATCTTTGATTACCTATATATTTTAGTTACGAATTGATTTATTACTATTTTTAGCTCACCTCAATGAAGTTGGGGGAGCTTATGTAATACCCTCGGCGTCGGTGTCGGTGTCGGCGTTGGCGTCCCAGGTTAAGTTTTTTGGAGCAGTTTTCTTTTTAACTACTTCTATGTCCTATATGGATTAGACATGCATGGAGGATGGTTCTAGTGTGTTTCATTGCACCATTCAAATTTTCAGATGCTGCAATTTCAGCAAAGGAATGACCAGGTTAATGTTTTTGGAGCAGGTTAACATTTTTGGTGCAGTTTTTGGTGTAGGTTTCATTTCCAAGTAACTATAAGCCCTTTGTTGACCAAACTTGCATGGATGATACATCTAAGGATGCATACTATCGGGCTTGCTTCGGATGCTGAATCTGACCTACATTTTCCGGTTGAGTGAACAGGTTAAAGTTTTTGGTGCAGGTTTCATTTCCAAGTAACTATAAGACCTATGTTGACCAAACTTGCATGGATGATACATCTAATGATGCATACTATTGGTCTTGCTTCGGATGCTGAATCTGACCTACTTTTCCGGTTGAGTGAACAGGTTAAAGTTTCTGGTGCAGGTTTCATTTCCAAGTAACTATAAGACCTATGTTGACCAAACTTGATTGGATGATACATCTAAGGATGCATACTATTGGTCTTGCTTCGGATGCTGAATCTGACCTACTTTTCTGGTTGAGTGAACAGGTTAAAGTTTCTGGTGCAGGTTTCATTTCCAAGTAACTATAAGACCTATGTTGACCAAACTTGCATGGATGATACATCTAAGGATGCATACTATCGGGCTTGCTTCGGATGCTGAATCTGACCTACTTTTCCAGTTGAGTGAACAGGTTAAAGTTTTTGGTGCAGGTCTCATTTCCAAGTAACTATAAGACCTATGTTGACCAAACTTGCATGGATGATACATCTAAGGATGCATACTATCGGGCTTGCTTCGGATGCTGAATCTGACCTACATTTTCTGGTTGAGTGAACAGATTAAAGTTTTTGGTGCATGTTTCATTTCCAAGTAACTATAAGCCCTATGTTGACCAAACTTGCATGGATGATACATCTAAGGATGCATACTACCAGGCTTGCTTCGGATGCTGAATCTGACCTACATTTTCCGGTTGAGTGAATAGGTTAAAGTTAATGCATGATTCATTTCCAAGTATCTATGATTCTTTAATGACCAAACTTGCATGGATAATACATATAAGGATGCATACTACCAGACTTGCTTCAGATGCTGAATCTGACCTACTTTTTGTGGATGAGTAAAAATGTTAGTTTTTGATGCATGTTTCATTTCCAATTAACTATGAGCCCTATAATGAGCAAACTTGCATGGATGATAAATCTTAGGATTCAAACTAATGGACTTGCTTCGGATGCTGAATCCGACATGCATTTTTCAGATAATAGACCAGGTAAAAGTTATGGGTGCAAGTCTAATACCAAAAAACTATAAGGCTTACATAACATTGTATAAACCAAACTTGCACAAACGTTGCATCAAGAGATGAAAACTCTCAAATTTGCTTCAGATTCTGGATTTTAATTACATTTTCATGAAGAAGAACTAGTTTAAATTTTTTATGTAGGTCTATTCAAAGTATCAGATCAAAATTGCTTAAATATTTTCATTTTTGGAATGTACACTTTTTGTTGGTTAATTGTGTGACTTTGCCTTACTTAAAGACAACATTCGTTGAGGTGAGCTCTGTAATCTCTGATTACCTATGTTTAATATTATCATAATTTAGTCCATTTGGGTTTCCAATTAAGCCCATTTGTTTTGCTATAGTATTTGCATTTATTTGCTAAATTAATGCACCCAGCAATCCACACTAAAACCATTACTGAGAAACGTCAGCCAAGTATCTTCACAGAAGACTTTTATCATAGAGAAATCCGCCGTAATACCATCACTGACAATGGTCCTGAGCCAGGTATCTAAAGGAAAGCATAGGATTATTATACCCCCCACAAACGAAGTTTAGGGGGGGTATATTGGAATCACCATGTCCGTCTGTCTGTCTGTAGATGAGATTTTGTCCGGACCATTACTCAGAAACTATTGGAAGGATTTGTCTAATAATTTGTACACATATTATTCACCATATGAAGTTGTGCACCTGATATTTTCATCTTGATTGGATTATTATTTTGAATTTTACAGGTGTTTTTTATGCGCCCGAATTTTTTCGGGGCGCATATTGTTTTGTCCTGTCTGTTTGTCTGTTTGTATTTCTGTCTGTTGTCAACTTTAACCTTGGCCAAAACTCTTGAACTATAAGAGATAGAGACTTCATAATTGGTATGCATACTTCTCTAATAAATTTCTTTCAAATGACATCAAGGTCAATAACCTTGTCACCTTGAATGTGACCTATATGCTAAAAATAGCTTTTTCAACTGTTTGTCATAACTTTTGAACCATAAGAGATAGAGACTTCATAATTAGTATGCTTACTCCTCTAATAAAGTTCTTTCAAATAACATCAAGGTCAATGACCTTGTGACCTTGACTGTGACCAATATGCTAAAAATAGCTTTTTTAACTTTTTGCCATAACTTTTGAACCATAAGAGATAGGGACTTAATATTTAGTATGCATACTCCACTAATAAAGTTCTTTGAAACAACACGAAGGTCAATGACCATGTGACCTTGACTGTGACCTTTATACTAAAAATAGCTTTTTCCACTTTTTGCCTTAACTTTTGAACCATAAGAAATAGGGACTTCATATTTAGTATGCATACCCTACTAATTAAGTTCTTACAAACAACACCAAGGTCAATGACCTTGTGACCTTGACTGTGACCTATATACTAAAAATAGCTTTCAAACTTTGTTAACGCCGGGCACATAGTGTTTCACAAACACATCTTGTTAATTTTTATTTTGTGGTTTTGTCTGGACCGTTTCTCAGAAACTATTGCAAGGATTAATCTGAAAATTTGTACACTTATTATTCACCATATGAAGGTGTGCACCTGGAATTTTCAACTCTTTTTGTTAATTTTTTTGCATTTTACAGGTTTTATTTTTGGGAGTTGAACTTTGTTCAATCTCACATGGTTATCACGTATTTAACATGCGCAGTAATTTGTGTTGATTACATAGAGACGAAAGCGAGGCTACTGTGTCGGCTGATTTACTCCGATGATATTCAACAGAAAACATGCATAAACATCCGTGACAAATAGTTCATGTCATTTTCTCCTGAATTAATCTAATTTCCATAATGTAAGTAAATGAAATGATAAAGTAATCTTATTTTGAATATCAGAATTCGTTCAAAGTACATATGTAAAACTAAATTATAAAGAACCATGAAAGTTTTTCGAAATGGAACTCATTTTTAGTGTAGAGTCATACACTGAAAGAGATACGAACGACAACTCTACATATTAACGGCAAACGTTAAATTTAGTCATATTCAAACTTTTCATGAACATTTTCTTGGTTTAATTGAATTTGTTACAGTCCCTGAAACATTCTACTTTCCCATTTTTCCGTTCGCTAACCGTTCGTTCACCGTTCGTTCAGCGTGCGTTCACCGTTCGCTGTCCGTTCACAGTTTTGCGTTCACCGTTTACCTTGCGCTCGCGTTCACCGTTGTCAAAACGTTCAGCGTTCGCTCTTCGTTCCGTTTAGTTTGCGTTCACCTTGCCTTCACTGTTCACTTATCGTTCAGTCTTTATTGTCTTTCGGAACTCCGAAGTGAAAGGACTTATCTTTTTGATGGTAAGGATTTACACGTTTTTTTTTACTTAAATAACTAAGATATCGTGTTTGAAGAATAATTATTTCAATGCAAAAAGTATCTACGATATATATATTTCTATTATTATAACTTAGCTGTTATTTTATCCATTTTTCCCTGGAAAAAATACATAAAGAAAATACATGTAAGTAGAACGATGCTAAAATATTAAATTTTAATATGGGCACCGTCCCTAAACAAATACTTAAAGCGCGGCATTTCGTTATAATATAAAAGACTACAAAAAATCGTTAATAGATAAATAATAATTCAAGTCTTTTACAAGACAAAAAAAAACACAAAAAAATATGTCTAACAAGTTTTTAAAGAAAAAATAAACAAAAACATGCTAGAACTATACAGTATATATGTCTGAGAATCATGAATAGTACTACAGATGTTCAGTTAATTAAATATTTGTAGAAAGAATTAAATTGTTAGTGTGATTTTAAATTTTAGAAAAGACAAACTGTTTAAAATTTAATACAATAGAATTTTTGGTTCTACATCACGTATATAAAGTGTATCATTACAAAGGATTACAAAGGAAAAAAAACCTTCCTTCAAGTAACTAAATATACGTTTGCCATTCAGTATGCTTAACAGCCCCCCCCCCCCCCCTCCCGAAATCAAATTCTTAGTTAGTATTTTCAGTATATATTAATTGATATTCAATGTGTATTGTACATGTAACACAGAAAAAATTATTCTTTATACAAACATCAAAACAGTCATTATATACATACATGTGCCGACAGTGGTATTTTG